ACAAGGGCTATAACAAGTCTCAGTTAGCTTAACGCAGTACACGTAGCAAGGTTTTTTTAATAATATAATAAGACTACTCTTGCTGCCGCGTTCTGGATTAATTGTAGAGGTTTGATAGAAGTGGCTGGAAGACCTGCCAAGAGAGCATTGCAATAGCCCAGCCTGGACAGAACAAGAGCTTGAACAAGGAGTTGTGAAGCATGTTCTGAAAGAAAGGGCCTGATCTTCTTGATGTTGAATAAAGCATATCTGCAGGAACGCGCAGTTTTAGCAATGTGGTCTGAGAAAGTAAGCCGATCATCAATCACAACTCCAAGGTTTCTGGCTGTTTTTGAAGGAGTTATGGTTGATGAGCCTAACTGGATGGTGAAATTGTGATGAAAAGATGGGTTTGCTGGAACCACAAGCAGTTCTGTCTTGGCAAAGTTGAGTTGAAGGTGATGGTCCGTCATCCAGCAAGAAATGTCTGTTAGACAAGCTGAGATGCGAGCAGCTATCGTCGGATCATCAGGATTGAATGAGAGGTAGAGTAGAGTGTCATCAGCATAGCAGTGGTATGAAAAGCCATGTTTCTGAATGACAGAACCTAGTGAAGCCATGTAGACAGAGAAGAGAAGTGGTCTAAGAACTGAGCCCTGAGGCACCCCAGTAGCTAGATGTTGCAACTTGGACCCCTCACCTCTCCAAGATACCTTGAAGGACATATCTGAGAGGTAAGACTCAAACCACTGGAGTGTAGTTCCTGAGATGCCATTTGCCAATAGGGTTGACAGGACAATTTGGTGGTTAACAGTGTCAAAAGCAGTGGATAGATCCAGCAAGATAAGTATAGAAGATTTGGAAGCCACTCTTGCCAGACTTAGGGCTTCAACAACTGAGAGCAAGGCAGTCTCGGTCTAATGTCCACTTCTGAAACCAGATTGGTTGCTGTCAAGGAGGTTGTTCTGTGTGAGAAAGGCTGAGAATTGGTTGAACACAACTCGTTCAAGTGTTTTTGCAATAAAAGGTAGAAGGGAAACCGGTCTGTAGTTCTCTAAAAGAGTTGGGTTAAGAGTGGGTTTCTTAAGAAGTGGGGTTATACGAGCCTGTCTAAATGCTGAGGGAAAAGCACCAGTGTGAAGGGATGTGTTAACGATGTGAGTGAGTGCAAAGAAATGGCTTGAAGGTGATGAGATGGAATAGGATCAAGCGGACAAGTAGTAGGATGATTGGAAAGGATGAGTTTAGAGACTTCTGCCTCAGAGAGTGGAGAGAAGGATGTGAACGAGTGTATGTTTGCTGGTAAGATGTGCTTGACCGATTCTGGTGTGGAAAATTGTGCACTGATGGTTTTAATCTCATTAATGAAGAATGTGGCAAAGTCGTCAACTGTTAGAGTTGATGAAGGAGGGGGAGGAGTAAGACAAAGGAGGGAGGAAAAAGATTTAAAGAGCATGCGAGAGTTAGACGAATTGTTAATTTTGTTATGGTAGTATGTCCTTTTAGCAGTGGAGACATTAGCAGAGAATGAAGAGAGGAGTGACCGATATACATTAAGGTCAGCAGGATTTTTGGATTTACGCCACACCCTTACAGCAGCTCTGAGCTTAGAACGATGCTCACTGAGAATATCAGATAGCCAAGGGGCAGAAGAGGTGGTACGAGCTGGTCTGGAAGACAAGGGGCAGACAGTGTCTAAACAAGACGTAAGAGTGGAGCAGAAAGTATCAGTAGCACTGTTATGACATTTAAAAAAAATGTTAAAGACGTCATGAAGGTTCGACTGACGATCAGAACCTCTGCCAGTCATGGATGCGACTTTTTTTTACATTGTGACAATGTTTTCATGTGGATCAAACACATTTATCCCCAACATTTCAGTACTGTAACATAGTCACAAGACAAGACTTTATTTATTCAAACCATAAATTCACCACAACAAAAACTAACATGATGTAAACATACAACGTTCAGCCCTTTCAGACTCAAACATACAATTGAAAAAATCCATTTGAATTTGTATGTGTGAGACAGTATCTTTATTTGTGTTACAAACATTGAAAAAATAACAGAAGTATACTTCTGTTATTTTTTCAATGTTTGTGACACAAATAAAGATACTTTATTTTTTCAATGTTCAATGTTTCAATGTAGGTACAAAAAAAGTACCTACGGTACTATCAAAATGGCACTATCGTCTTAATTTGATGCTTTACATAACAGTTTTTTTCAACTGCTTGCACACACAATCTTTCCTTGTCACATAGTTTCTGAAAGCTGACACTCAGACAGCAGAAGCACACACTAAATCTACAAAACCATACACTAATTCTGGACCTTTGACTCAGTTTTCAATTTCATAAAACACTTTTTGCAAAACACAACACACAATTCTCTATGTAGCACACACAAATCTAACAGGAATTAATATTATGGCAAAGGTGTTTGCAAATGTTTGCTTTTGAGATGTGTTTGTGATATTTTGAATGCAGTGCTTCATTTTGCAAGAGATGCGAGGCATTTTGCATTTTGTGTGTGCGATTCTTGGATTTGTGTGTAAAGTTTTGAAAAAAAGAGGCAAAGTTTTGAAAATGTAAACAGTTGAAAAAAACAGTAAGATCGCCTTTCATCTCTTCCAGGACAATTGATTTACACAGGCATTTAGTCAAATGATTCATTCAAAACACTGATTCACTAAATCAGTTAATTCAAAAATAATGATAAATATTAGTACTGTAGCTTTAAAACATGCTGGGATGAGCGAGTTCAGGAGATCAAATGTGCAGCTGAAGTTAAAGTTGAGTCTCCAGCCAGTGTTTGCCAATCTGAGTCGTAAATTCACGAGTATCAAGTTCTCATCTCTGTCCATTTCCTTTCTTCCAAATGAGCTGTGTGGATCAGAAGCATCTCTTTCGAGTCCAGTCGTGACTACATTGTTCTGAAATCCTGCGACGGTCCTCGCCAGCACCAGCTGTCCTGTGGAGGAAACGCTGGAGATAATGATGATGTTTTAACACGGCTCTCTGCTCGCAGACGCGCTCCACGGCAGCAATCTGTTAAACGTTGACCTGCGCAGGTCAGGCAGAACTACTACGTCTACTGTGCCAAAATCTGTAAAAGTCCAGCGGCCTTATTTACGATTTCATTTATAATCATCAAGTGTGCCATTACAGAGGGGGCAAGCAATCAGTTTCACCATTTAGAGCCGTAATGCATCCACGGCGACATTAGGAGGGATTTATAAATCTAGCGGTCGGAGTAATTGTGGATGTGGAGCTTTTACAGCCAGCTGTAAGCGAGCGGCGAGATCCGCACGGAAAAGATCGAGATCACTCTCGGAGAATCCCTCCCACCGAGACACATGTGAAATCCATCCCGGCCGCGCTTATAAGCTGCTCTCGCTTGCACCATCAAATGGAGAACATATTGGCAGAAAATATGGCTTGTTTGAGAGCCCCTGCCGAAACAGCTGACTGTATCGCGTTCCAGCTTCAGACTCCTTTAATTGTTTGGCCACATGTCAAAGGAAGTTCTGACTGACCTCCTGAAAAACTCTTAAACTGGACGGATCCAGCCGCTGTCAGGCCTGGGCCTCCAGAAGGTGTTTAATAAAATCCTGGTACATCCTAAAGCCCGCAGACCCATAAATCAGCTCTGGTACTGTGTGTGTGTGTGTGTGTGTGTGTGTGTGTGTGTGAGTGCGGGCCTGAAGGCTCTGTCGCTGGCTTCGCTGTGAATACAGATGCTGTGGCCGCTGACCGATCCGTTGCAGCTCAGCAGGCTTGGGTTTTATTGCACCGTGCAGGTTCTGCAGGTTTGAGCAGGTCCTCCTCCATCTGACTCCCTCTCCTGCGTTTACGGGACTGTGCTGGTGCTGGTGTGTAACAGCTCGTTTGGACCTCCAGAACCCACAGCCGGCCATCATTCCTCCCTCACATCAATGTCAGCTATTAAAAGCACAAATACCTTCTCAGAGTGAAGTAAGGCATTTATAAAACAACATTTCCTGTCACCATGAATACGATGTTCAGAAGCGCATTACTGCGACTGACTCCAATGCATCTGATGTGTTCCAGTGAACGAGCCTCTCGTGAATAACAAAGCGTTTCCAGCAGCAGAAGTGTGCGTTTGAGGCGAGTCATTCTGATTGACCGATAGCAGAGAATGAGACGCACCCCGAGAGATTGTGTGAGTGTGTGTGTGTGTGTGTGTGTGTGTGAGAGTGTGTGTGTGTGTGTGTGTGTGTGTGTGTGTGAGAGTGTGTGAGTGTGTGTGTGTGTGTGTGTGTGTGTGTGAGTGTGTGTACCTGTTTTTCTATTCTGGTGGGGACTTAAACCTGAATACACACAGACTCATGGGGACTCATGTCACGGTGGGGACCTAAATTGAGGTCCCCACGGGTAAACAAGCTAATAAATCACACATAATGAAGTTTTTTGAAAATCTAAAAATGCACAAAGTCTCCTGTGAGGGGTAGGTTTAGGGGTAGGGTTGGTGTAGGGCAATAGAATATACGGTCTGTACAGTATAAAAACCATTACGCCTATGGAGAGGCCCCACAAGGATAGTAAACCAGGCATGTGTGTGTGTGTGAGAGAGAGAGAGTGTTTGTGTGTGTGTGTGAGTGTTTGTGAGCTGCAGCACAGCTTCATTCAGAGCATCTAACAGTGAGTTAGGTGAAGTCCATCATCTACAGGTCAAATCTCACAGAGCAGCAGTAAACAATGGCTGAACTCATTCACTCGTCTCTCTGTCTGTGGCTCAGGTTAATGAAGTATCTTCAGATGTGACTCCACTAGATCACAGGGATGTTCTGCTGCAAACCAGCGTGACGGAAACGCTTCAAACAGCAGACGAGCGCGGGATGATTCACGGCTGATCTCAGGACGGTGTGTGGCATGCGTTAGTTTCTTGCTGCATGTGAAGTGTCACGTGTCGCGTGTGTGTTGTGTGTTTAATCGATGTGACCAGGGCATCTCTGTGTGGAGGCCTGTCGTGTTTGCTGAAGTGTTCTGGGAGACTCTCCTGACTGCAGAAGGGAGCGTCTCAGGCGATGTGAGAGTCGAGGCTGTATCTGGAGCGCTGGGTGTTTCTGAGGCGGGGGGCAGGATGAGCGCACGCGAGGGGGCTGCAAACCACAGCAGGTTCGGCTGACATCCTGCCTCTCTGTAGCTGCTCCGTCTCACTCCCGCTCCTCGCCACCTCTCAGCCTGTTCCAGGTAAACTTCACCTTACCTACAAAACCTCTTTTCTTTAGTCTTCTTTCTTAATGCGGCTCCAGACAATCGAACGGATCGGATCCATGTGTCAAGGCCTTTCGATCGAGCCGTCGCTCGTGATGTGAGTCTTCATCACTTCCTGCTGGAGATCCAGCACAGAGTCAGATATCATTAAAACAGTTCGGCTGTGTGTGTGTGTGTGTGTGTGTGTACGCGTTTTTGTGACAGATGAGGACATAAATGTGTATAATGACAAAGGTATGACGGGTATTACAAGGAGAAGGTGACTTTTCAGGACATTACCCCATGTCCCCACTTTTCAAAACGCTTATAAATCACACAGAATGGAGTGTATTACTGATCATTGGACAGCTGACACAACTCAACATGCTCTTTACAGCTAAAATTAAACTGTTTCTATGCTCGTTCTGCTGCTGCTTCGTCAAACCGGGTAAAAGCATCTGATTAATGAATAAATATAAAAAACAGATCTATATAAGACATTCAAATCAAACAGTAATACAGTGTCTCCTGTGTGACAGTGTTAGGAATTCTCTGCAAGTTTGTGAAGTTTTCACGGTTTGAGTTTTTCTTTTCCCTGCTCTATAAACTGCAGGGCTTGTGTTGAAAAATTAAGCATGAATTCAAAAGTAAAAAGAATGGTTTATTTGTAAACTGCATATATATATATGAGGACGCGTTTTTAAATGTACCTACATCAGATCTTGCTATACTTCCTGCTGACTGATAGAGTTGATGCAGGTGTGCTGTGTCTAGTGGCTGCTGTATGAACACATCTCTGACAGTAATCATGGCTCACACAGTTCCTCTCTGAGACCGATAGGCGGCGCTCTTCTCTCATTCAGACATCATTCAGAAGATCTCGTGTAAATACCTCTTCTAACACCAGAGAAGTCCAGCTGTTTCAGTCGGAATCATTGGGAAGAGTTGATCAAATGAACCCTCACTGATATAGGCCTATTTGCTTTGTTCATCATAATCATATCTGCTCAGTCACAAAGCCTAATTAGCTGCTTAATTCAGCTCAGTATAGACTAGATTCATGAACGCGATTTAAACACAGAATAGCAATTATTTATTTTAATGTATTATTATTATTATATTTATATTGTTATTATTGTATTCCTTTCTTATTTAAGATAAAAGCTATAGGCTAATCTTTGACAAATCACCGAAAAAAGTAAAGAAACAAAAACAAATCTGCTTTATATATATATATATATATATATTTTTTTTTTTTTTACATAAATGAAATTATTAACTTCGCGGCAAAAGACATCATTCATAGACCTACGTTCATTTTAAATACATTATGATCAGATGAAAGATATTTAGGCTATATAAAGATACAAAAAAAGAATGTATATTGCACTACACTTTTTATGCTAAAACGTTTTCGTAGCCTACATGTTCCGTTAATTTAGGAAATCAATTAGGCTATTACTAATTATGAAATTCATAATGTACTGGAATTGTTTTAAAAGCAGAAGTGATGAACGCGACTGGAATTGAATGAAAGGGGTTTTCAGCTATTCATGTGTAACGTGAGGTTTATCTGTTGGATCATCACTAAATAAACCTGAAACAATTCCCTTAATTGAGCCGAACAAAGACGAATCATTAACAGCCGTTTAATGCTTCAAAGGATTATTCAAAACTCATAATTGTGCCTTTATTTACTCTCTCGTGTCATTCAAACCTGCATGATCCTCACTTCTGTGAAACACAAATGAGTCTGTTTTGAAAAAATGTTTGGAACCAAACAACGCTGAATTTTATATTTTCAACAAAATATCTTCGCTTTGTTTCGCAGAAGAAAGAAGAAAGCCATACAGGTTTGGAACGATATGAAGGAGAAGATGGTGAGAGATTTCAGGTGTTTGAGGGATATCGCTTGGAGATGATGAGAAAGTAAAGTGTTTCCTCGTTTAATCACAGAACAAACGTGTGTGTGTGTGTGTGTGTGTGATCTCTCGCTTATGGCCCGTGATGAGGCTGAGAGGCTGACACTGTTACCATGGAAATGTTAGTTGCTAAGGAAACTGGAATTTCCCAGAGGACTCAACAGCTGTTGCCATGCAGTAGCCGTAGCAACGAAAGGACACACGCACATACTCACACAGTGACGCACACACACACACAAAACGCTCTGACTGTCTCTCCACATGACAGATGTGACATCAGATCAGCTGTCACTGAGCACTCGTGTGTGTGTGTGTGTGTGTGTGTGTGTGTGTGTTCGCGTTTTTGTGACAAATGAGGACATAAATGTGTATAATGACAAAGGTATGACAGGTATTACAAGGAGAAGGTGACTTTTCAGGACATTACCCCATGTCCCCACTTTTCAAAACGCTTA